TAGCATTGTTTTATACATGTCCTCGGCTCGGCCTCAATTTCAAAATCAGTCCTTGGTCCTTGGCCTTGGCCTTGGAGGCAAGTCCTTGGTCCTTGGCCTTGGCCTCGGAAAATTTTTCAAGTCCTTGGCCTTGGCCTTGCCTCGGAAAATTTTCCAAGTCCTTGGCCTTGGCCTTGGCCTCGGAGGCAAGTCCTTGGCCTTGGCCTTGGCCTCGGGTTGCCGGTCCTTGGACACATCCCTGCCTGTGACCCAAATGAGGACAAGCGTGATAGAAAATGAATGAATGGATACATATGACAGCCTATCTTAGAGGTGTCGGTCAGTATTTTCCATGTAATTGATATATTTCACGAGAAGCATAATTTATAACAAGTTGGCGACAGGTAGTCCAGTGTTGTTTGTCAACAGAATTTCATGTCATGGTCAACAGTTGGTTTAATCTTTGCATTATGCAAATTTCATCAAAACATTGTCATAGTGACTGAAAGGAATCCTACGTGCATACGAACAAAGCCATTGCCCTCACTAAACCCAACGTTGGTTGCCGATGAACCACAACACAATCTCTTGATTTCTAAATTTGATCCTGCAATGTCTTGTCAGATATCGCCGGGGGTATCCTGAAACCCACTCTTGCTGCTTCCAACCTACCGTCCAATCAGCAGCCAGAGAAGCTGGTGTCGGACGACCTTGAGTCCTCCCTTGCCAACCTTGTTGGTAGTACGTATGCAATTTTTTGAATATTGGTCACATAACATGTTACAGGATGTCGGATGTTATGGAAAAAAAAATTCAAATCACCTGTATATCAAAATAGAACATATCATTGAATGGAAATTTATGACACAAATAAAATGGGCCCATGTTACTTTTATTGTAGGACGCAGGTTATCCTAAGCATAATTCATTAAGTCAATGTGTACAACTATGGTCCCACATTATCCAATCATAAATAATGGAAAACATGTCATTTAATAAAACACTCAAATTCTGAGTCACCTGCCTTTAAAACGTGCGAAAGAGCCTCATTTACGGGGCTCTTAAACTATGTCCATGTTTGGACTTGCTCAATGGAACTGTCCATGTGTCGCCTGCGCCGTCTCTTCAGTAGGCAGCGTGAGTGTATTTGTGTCAATGTATTCTTCCAACTGTAGTTGAACTGCTGGGTGCGCACCCTGGAAGTGGGAATCGTCCTGTTTGTAGATTAAAGTGGGGTGGAAATGAAGAAATGTATTGTGTCCGTGGGTGAGAGAAGTGCACAATTGCTCTTGTGTGCAGTTTAGAGGGAATATTGGTTGCAACGTAATTGTTGTGTCTAGGATTTGTAATGTCTGTTCTATGTGTTCTTCAGACCTTGGCATTGGAAATGGGACCATGAAAAAGTAAGTGGCGCACAGACACTCGCTGTTGTTGCAACACTGCGATAGAAACTCTTAACTCGAGCTGCCTTAATTCACAGTGACATCCACTGGAGTCAACCCGGTGAGAAGAGGATGACAGGCGGCACAAACTGGCAACCTAAAGCGGCGCCGACGACGACTTGGAATCCCGTCTCCATGGTGATTAATATATATTTTTGTCGATGAACATATGGCCCATGCACAACATGCGTCCCGGCAGAGCATTTTATCAGGCCTGCCATACAAGTCTAAAAACCAATAAAACCTCAAAAAGCCCATCTGAGAAGACTTCCTAAAATCTGAAATGATTTCTGATAACTGATTCAATCACCCAGTGGGGCAGCATGTCTGAGTGGTTCAGAAGAGTGGTCGTTTCCCAACCCGACCGTTGGTTGTTCAATACCCGGCCATTGCAACCATGTTGAAGTGTCCTTGAGCAAGACACCGAACCCCCAGTTGCTCCTGGTGCTGCGTCACCAGTAGGTGAATGACAATGTGAAGCGCTTTGAGAACCCGAGGTAGACAAGCCCTACGCAAGTGACATAGCTCATGGCTTCCACTAAGTGTGCAATATGGACAAAAATGTATATCCTGATATTCCTTAAAATTAAATTAATGGCAATATTCTTAGTTCTGGCAAAATGGCGGCCCCCTGAGATGGATGGCAGCGGGTGGATTTTGCTGAGTAATTCATATTCCGCCATCCACCTGTTATCCTTTTTGTGTTCCTGCAGCCGCCATCCACTATGGCCTTCCCTGCCACCACACCCACAGGCATGATGGGCTACGGCATGGTGAGTAATGTGAGTGTAAAATCCATGTTACAGTGGTGCCTCAACTTGAGAGTTGAATATGTTACATGACTACACTTAAAACATTTCAATCTCAAATATTCTTTCTCCATTGAAGTGAAAACAAACACCATTCATTTGTTCTGGCCCACCACAAAATGAAATACTTGTAGTGTTTTTAATAAGAATGGTATTCTACAATATTGTATTTTATAGAAATGATAAAACATTTAAATAGAATGAAACCATTGATGCATAATGAGACATGTGCAGCACCTTGTGGTGTGTGGGCCGTGGCCACTAGGAGGCAGCATACATAAATACAGTAGGCCAGTAAATCGAGGCATTTCACAACGAGTCAGTGGGTTTCAGTAATCGTCCTTTTTCACAGAGGATACAGAATTAATGCCCCTGGGTATGATGTTGCATGTTTTGCAGGATCCTTTGTTTTCAGATAGTCTTTGGTTAAAGGATTATTGACATTGCAATGAGGATGCAAGTTGTTGGGCCGTGTATGGCGTTTTGCGCTGTGCATTTGCATGATGCTGATGGGTTATTGTGTCAGACAGTTTTGTGGTTATTTTAAATTCCTGAGGTGTAAGGCTTCAAAAGCACTCTTGACAAACTGCTGCTTGTTGTGAAGTTCGCTACTAGCATTTAGTGCTCGTATCTCAAAGTCTCCCAAGACAAATAGTCAGAGTGACGGTTTGTATCTTAAAAATTCTGTGATGGTTTCTTGGTGCCACTGTTAATACTTTTGGTCCCAGTACCAGCAATTAGGCGACAGTATTTGACAAATAATCCTCCGTGTCTCCTTTGCAAGCCTCCACACATGAGTTCCATGGGCATGATGAATCCTCCCACCTTGATGTACAGTCAACCTGTGATGAGGCCGCCCAACCCTTTTGGCTCGGTGTCCAGCACTCAGGTGGGTGCGCCTCGTCTCCCTCGTTCTGCCAGGCGTCAGTGTGTGTGGAATTATCTTGCTATGTTACATTCCCAAGTTGGCACAAACACTGATGATGGCGGTTTAAGCGAGCCTCGGTTCTCATCTTGAACTGTGCATCATCTCCTTTTTTTTTTTTTTTTAAATCCTCCATTTAACCAACGCATTCAATTCAACATTGGTGCTTGCCCAAACTAATCTCATTCCCCCCTCTTCCTTCATCTCTGCGCTGACTCTGGCCCTCCTATTTCCTCTGTCTGTGTGTGTGTGTGCGTGTGTGTGTGTGCGCGTGTGTGTGTGTTCCTATAATAGCCCTCGGCAGCCTCTAGTCCTTCCAGCCAGAGTCCTCTCCGAGCCCCCGGACAGGACCCGTTTGCACACCTATCTCTCAAGGATTTCTTGTAGAGCGTCTCTTTAGGTACAGCATGCCTCTTCTGCTGGCGGCTGTGACTGTGTGTGTCTGCTTGTCTTCTCTCATACCATCTTCATGCTTTTGTCTTCATTTGACATAGATGCCACATGCGTTTGTCTTTGCTTGATCTTGATATTGATCTTGTTTTGCTCCTCTCACCGTCCTGATTGTAATGAGGCTCACGCTGCCTGTTTGATCCTGACACTCATCGCATACGGCTGCGAACTGATTTGTTGTCTTTTTTTTTTTTAAACATATGATTGAATTTAACCCGCTGACTGTTCTGCACACCACGCCCACGAGAGTCTCACTCTGCAAGCTTTGCATGGTATCTCTTAGAGAGGGACACACAGTAGTATTCAAATGTTCCAAAATTATATTTTGGAACACTTGAATACTACTTGTCTGAACGACCTTTCAGGTACAGCAGTTACTACAGTGGACAACTTGTCATGTTACGGGGTGCATGAAAAGGTTAATATACCTCTTGGCATATGTTTTGTATGCAAGTTTGATGCAAGCCAGCATCACTAACCTATCCAAACATACTATTAGCTGTATGCACGGTATTTGTATGGTCGACACATTTAACTGGGAACTATGACATAAACGACAATGGATGAATGGAAAGTAAAAAACTGTTTAATTTAAAAAAATAAATAAATAAATCTTCACTCCGAACAAACAATTCCTCACTCTTGTCATGTTGGCTCGCTTGTAAGGGGATCAAATGCCACATGACGACATTTTCATAAGCTGCTCCACAAAGTACTTCATTGTGCGCTGCTCGTGTATCTATAACTAAAAGTCGACAGCCGTTTTTCTAAATGTACACTACACAGAAGTAGTTTTGGAATATTTGGCGTTCATGCTATGTTTCAGATTGAACCCAAAATGCATTATACCCTTTAGATGAACTTAATTTGTCGTTATCTAAGCTTTTGAATGTCCAGCGATTCAATATGTTACAGGACTTTTATAATACGGTGCGAGACAGCAAAATCCCTGCTCGCTCAACTCTAGTTGCTTCCGGCGCCTTCTGGGAGAAGCCTATAGTTGTAAAACATTTTTGGAAGCTTAATAAACAAATGTACATGCAGCTACATTGACCTCTTTTCGGGGTTTTAAGCCATTAATTCATTTGTATAAGGACAATTACATACGTGCATGAACAGAGACAGCTGGTATGTATCTCTCCGGACTTTATTTTTCATTTGCCCCAAATGGTTGAAAACACAAATAGCATAGCTCCACCTAGTGGCAAGGTTGGAGTATCACAGTGTCTTGTCTCCTCCAAATTGAATGCAGGCGATCCAGCCTCAAATGTTTCATACCTTTTCAACAAATTATTTGGCTGTTAGTATCTTTTAGCAAGAAATCATGCACAGATGTGACAAACGGCTCTTACGATGTGTTGGACATACTATTTAAAGAAAATGTCTTTTGTTGTATTTTTTACCATCTAACAATCTTGAGGTTTCTAGTCACTTTCATTTAGGACATTGGTTATGCTTGTATTGAGAATGTAGTCATTGTTTCGGACATGGAACCTTTTGCCAAAATGTAAAAAAAAAAAAAAAAAAAAAAAAAGGCGAATATTGTTTTGAGCATGGAATATTTTGTCAAATTGTCCCAAAAAAATGGCAAGTGTTTGACATGCTTATCCTGTATCGTAACGAGATCAGAGTATGTACAATATTTGGCTTGATTGTACCTTTTTTAAATGCCATTATTGAAGCTCATTTTAAAACTGCATTATAAATTGTCAGAGAGGAACTTAGTTTTGCGAAATGAATAGATGCTAGTCTAGTGAGGGAAGATGTTGAGCTCACTATGAGGCGGGGCTTACCCAAGAGTCACACTCAAATGAAGTGGTCATTTTAACTTGTGTCATTCTCCCTTGCAGACGCAGTTCATGTAACTTTGAAGAGCTCATCTCTCTTGGAAAGGTGAAGCACTTAGCAGCAAAAAGCCTTGTCCTCGTCGAGGTCTCCGGAGAGGCATTCACGTACCCCACCCTGCCCTTGCCCTCTTAGACCCCCACCACACACTCACACATGCACCCTCACAAAATATCAATTGTGTTGAGAGCTGCGGCGGCTTCCAGTAACCTTGGTAACAGAGGATTCCCTCTCCGTTTTACAGTGTCATCTGTAAAAGTAGTTCTGGCTGCTGAAAAACTTTGATGTTCTGTATTTGGGTAAAAAGGAAAAAAAAAGAAAAAAAACAACTTAAAACTACGGTCGGGTTTTGAGTGAGCGGAGCGGTGCGTTAGTTGTAGGGCGATGGCGACCTTCCCTTCTTTTTTTTTTCCTCGATGCCACAAAATCACCCTTCACGGTGTAGCGATGCTAACGACGTTTACGCCCGTTTAGTTTGTCTTTTTTACCGTGTTTACAGTAGACATTCCCTGTGTGTCGTTTGTATTTATTTATGATTGTCAGTCGAAGGAGCTCGAGTGGGGGTTTCTTGTAAAATCAACAGCGCATAATAATGGAGCATCGAACATGCGTGGGAGTGCTTGAGCTATCATCAAGTGGTAGAGTGACAAATAGCTATTGTATAAATGACACCTATTAAGCCGAATGATAGAGCACTAAATATTGACTTTGTTCATTTGTTTTTTTGTTGTTGTTTTTTTTAACTATTGTTAGATGAAAATTTAAAAACTTATTATAAATTCACAGCTGCCACTGTGCTGAGAGTGCAGATGTTTCCACTAAAGCTTGGGTGGGAAACCAATGCGGTCCACCAAGTAATCGTAAAAATATGCGAATAATATATGATTACAACAAACAAACGAAAACCCTAACCCCCGCCCACAAGTTTGTCATATTTTTTTGTCCACTTAGTACAGCCCTTGGAGGACTTGATAGGAAATGGTTGACCCACCCCGGAGCTAAACAAAACATAGTGCATTCTGTGCCTATATCGGGGTCTTTGTTTTTTTGTTGTTGTTGTTGTCGGTAACTTGAGTAACACTTCACACACCATCCCAGCGGCGGTGGCGGCGGGCTCGATTTTGCTTTAATAGCTTGGCACACCATCAACTCGGTGAGCGCGCTCGAGGCTGCCTTTACTCTCTGAATGTGAAGAGTTGTCTTCATGTTGCACACATCTTTCCACACCGCACGCGCAACCACTCACCCGCCGCCCCACTTGTCAAAACGTGCTTGAGTGGCATGTTTGATGTACAGGAGTTGTACAGGAGATCAAGATGACCGCTTGATGGTGAGGGACGGCGGGCAGGTGATGTCAGTGGAGGTGCAGGACGAGGGACGAGCGCTGTTGATCGGCACTCACTGTAAATATAATAATTAAGACAAAAAAGTGACTGTTCTTTGATTGCAAGAGTGAAAGATGTATGAAATATGAACATGATTCAAATCCAATTTGACTCTACCTATTAAGTCTTGATTCAGGATGATCCTCTCTGCAGATCTCTTGTCTGTCATTAGAACCTGTAGCAGGCGACCACTCAAATCTTGTTTTTTCTTTTTCAAATAAAGAGCAGCTTACACAAAAAACACACAGTCCCTTTCTCTCACTTTTTCTTATTTTTCCCTCTTACACAAAAACAACTAATAATGACCAAACATTTGCCCAGGCCACAAACTCGCTTGAAAACTCAACGGTGTATATAATTCAACAGCCATGTGGCAAATCTTAATTTCATTGGCAAAACCTGAGTTGATGCCAAAAGCTTTTATTTGGATTTTTTGGAGTTTGTGCTTTGATTTTTCACATTTGTGCTTCTCATGACTTTTAGATGTTTGAAATGGGCAACAATAAGGTCAGGATTTGGCTCAGAATCTTTTTTTAGTAAGCCTCAGGGGTCAATTTATTATTGAATAGCAAGCTTTTTTTATTATTTTAAAGTACTCTTAGGTAATTCTTATTGTTTTTCAGAATTTAATAAAAGCATATAAACATAATCTTTCAGAAATGTAAATGGCAAGAAATACCAGTTGAAAAAAAAATGGTTCCACCAAAACAAAGCAACCTCAAATTTGAGTTGCTGTGAAGCTACGTGTGACTGTGACAGGTTTTCATATTCAAAAGTATATATTTGAGTCACTGCTGAAACATGGTAGTTTTGTTTTTATTTTTCGTATTTCAAAGATTCACAAAATGTTTTTCCGAAAACATTGACATTTGTAATTTTTTTTCACATTTGATCAATTGTTCCAAATGATACCAAATTTAAGTTACTGGAACAAAAAAAGAATCCCATGATGGGTTTATCTAAAAAAACAAAAACAAAAGTAAATATACTGTAGTTCATACAAAAAAAGTTAATTTCTGCTTGAAATTGTTCCCTTGACAGTTGTACTGATTAGATGTGATTTTTATCGTAATTTATAGGTTTGTACTACTCAGGGTTGGGGGGACCTTACTATTATCTATAGCTATTTGTTCTAGGATTATTTTGTATAATGTTCAAACTGAAGAATTTGTTTTCAGCAAATGATCTGTAACTTATTTTTTGGCTGTAACACATTCCAGAAAATCTGGGACAAGTGGCAAAGTTAGAAAGTTGAGGAATGCTCATCAAACACCTCTTTGGAACATCCCACAGGTGAACAGGCTAATTGGGAACAGGTGAGTGCCATGATTGGGTGTAAAAGGAGCTTCACTGAAATGTTCAGTAGCTCACAAGTAAAGAAGGGTGACACCACTTTGTGAACAACTGCGTGAGAAAATACTGTAAATGAACAATGTTCCTTAACGTACAATTGCAAGGGAATGTAGGGATTTCATTTTCTATGGTCCTTAATATCATAGGTTCAGAGAATCTGGAGAAATCACTGCATGTAAGCGTCAAGGCCGAAAACCAACACTAAATGCCCGTGAATTTTGTCCCATCAGGCGGCCCCTCATCAATAACCGACATCGCTGCATAAAGCATATCACCACCTGAGCTCAGGAAAACTTCAGAAAACCACTGTGAGTAAATACAGTTCGGCGCTTCATCCTTAAGTGTAACTCAAAATGCTATTATTCAAAGCAAAAGCCATTTATTACCACCCACCTGGAAACACCGCCGCCCTCTCTGGGCGCGAACTCATTTAAGATGGACTGATGCAAAGTGGGCAGCCCGGTGGTCCAGTGGTTACCGCGTCAACCTCACAGTGCAGAGGTTGTGGGTTCAATCCCCGCTTCGGCCTCCCTGTGTGGAGTTTGCATGTTCTCCCCAGTTCAGGGTGTCCCTCGCCGACTGCCCGTAGACGGCTGGGATAGGCCCCCGTGACCCTTGTGAGGATAAAGCGGATCGGAAAATGAATGAATGATGCAAAGTGGCAAAGTGTTGTTTGGTCTGATGAGTCCACAATTTATTTTTTTCTCCCCCCAATTGTGGGTGTCGTGTCTTCTGTCCAAAGGGGAAAAAAATCACCCGGACTGTTGTGGATGCAAAATGTGATGGGATAGGCCTGTGTTACTGCCAATGGCATGGGGAAGTTGCACATCTATGAAGGCACCATTAATGCTGAAAGGTTCCAAACAAATTGAATTGAACATAATTTGCTAATTGACGGCCCGGTAGTTGACTGCTTAGCGTGTCGGCATCACAGTGCAGAGGTGCAGGATTCAATTCCGACTCCAGCCTTCCTGTGTGGAGTTTGCATGTTCTCCCCGTGCCTGCGTGGGTTTTCTCTGGGTACTCCAGTTTCCTCCCACATTCCAAAAACATGCATGGCAGGTTAATGGAACACACTAAATTGTCCCTATGTGTGAGTGTGAGTGCGTATGGTTGTTTGTCTGTGTGCCCGGCGATTGTCTGGCAACCGGTTCAGGGTGTGCCCCGCCTATTGCCTGAAGACACCCAGGATAGGCTCCAGCACGCCCTGCGACCCTTGTGAGGATAAAGTCGATCCGAAAATGGATGGATGGATGATTTTCAAATCATTGTATTCTGTTTTTATGTTTAACACAGCGTCCCAACATCATTGGAATTGGGTTTTATGTGTGAGTGTGTCTGTCGAACGATCGAGCGATGTTTAAAATATTTTTTGTGTGTGTGTTGGGTATTATGCATAAGGACGACAACCCAACTGAAAAAGTTGCCAAACAGGTGCAGGTGTTTTACACGCCCTTTTGGTAAACACTGACGACACCTGCAGGCCACCAGTTGCTATTACAACAGGTACACTATTTGATCGCAATTTTTTTTTTAAATGAGCCGTTACTAGTGCCGTCACCAGCTGTAAGCCACACTTGTGTTTGAGTGAGGAGGTGGTCTGCCTGCACATATTCACGTTGGTCCAACCCATTTCGAGTGAGTCCTGCCCCTTCTCTTAGCTGCACACTCAAGGTTTTCAGTTCATCCAAGCAGAAGCGGCGGACCAGCGGTGGCTGAATTGCTTTTTTGCACTCCCAAGAGGCAAACCAAAGCTTCAAGGTAGGAGACATATTCAATATTTACAGTGCACTCAGAGCTGTTCCTAACCAAAATATTAGAAACTGCCCTCAGTAGGCAGCGCCGTCCCTCACAGGGCACCAAAACAATGAATATTGTTAAATTTCACCTTAATACGAAAGTGGGCATTATTGTCATTGTAAATGCAACATTTACGACACAGCTAATTGGGTAGCAAGTGCCAAGTGAACCAATAAAGGAATTTCAGAATATTTTAGTCTGTAACTTTTTCATAAATGTCGATAAAAATATAAAACGTTCCTAAAAAGTATTCATTTTTTTAAAATAATAATCCTAAATGAAAAATTAGCTTAGTCCTTGTGGAGGCAGAATTTAAAAATAAGGACACAGCTCCCGCATTGGATCTTACGTTGTGGACTTACGTGAGTATATTGATTAAATACAAATCGTAATAAAGATTGATTTAAAATTTATTTCATTTTGTATTTAATGTAGACAAAATATTTTTCTTTTATGTCTTTTTTTTATTTGCCTAAATTTAATGAATTGGGTATCTTCAGGAAATAAGCAAACTACAAAATAGTTTTTAAAATGTGTTATATAATTATCTTTATTTAGCCAATTTAAAATACAATCAACACAATATAAAGAAACATTTTGGTTAAATTATATGAAATATTCTTACATAAACTAATACATTTTGATTTTGTTTCTCAGTTATCTATTTCATTTCCTTCAACAAATATTCTTTTCATATCTGTCTTTCTGACACCTCATGTGTGCACTCCACCATATCTTGCCTGAAATGACATATTCAAATGTTCTTGTCAGTGCAAATATTTGAAAAAGATCCTAAACCGGGCTCTATCCGCAGCCAGGCATGGATAAATGAAATAGAAATACACCAGTAGCTTCACCGGAGCGAGAAGGCTTTTGTGTCTGAATGTAGAAACACACACACACGCACGCAAAAGCTCTTTTTCCTCATTTGTGTTCACTGTGAAAAAATACAAAAATAATGTTCAATTACACTTGCACTGAAACTTCAGTCTGAGTGTCAAAGTTGACATTTTGGTATGTTTGAAATTCATCTGCAATTTACCTGGCTTGCCAATCGGCATGAAGAGTAAGTCAGCAAGTACATTTAGTGGCTGGCAGCTCTTCACAAAGCCTCATTTGTCATGTACTAGAAGAACTGGAAGTGTGCTATGCTTGTTCACTGTTCTTGGTTTCATCTAGTGCTGCTTAAAATTGTTGAAAAAGCTCAAATGTCAATGATATCATTGATTGCTTATCAGCCAAAGAAATACAAATGAATGAGGAAATCAAAGCACATTTTAGTGTGTGACATGTTAGTAAGTTGACATG